AGGGGGGGGGGGGGCATGCACGTGGTACCAGCTGTTTCACGGTATGCTGAAAATTGTGAACCTGCAAGGTTGTTTTTTTACTTTTTCGAGTTGGAGTGGCTTCCGTATACGAAAAACAGAGGTGGGTTCGTTCGTGTATCTGTCGCCCGACCCCGCCCACCTCCCCGTAGTCTCCCCCGGCCCCGTCTAACCGTGCCTCTCCTCCGTTCGGAGCTCATCGCCGCGGTTGAGGTGGACACCAGCAACGAAAGCATGAGTCGATAGGTTCGAAACGGATACTCGATCGGTGCTCTCCAAGTTCTTCATTCAGCCCGAGGCTTGCGTCATCGTGTTCTCCCTTGCCTCAGCGGCGGTAGCGTTTTTCGCATTGAATAGTTGGGACTCGAGAAATAGTACGTTGGCGTATCGATCAGGGTTTCCGTGGGCATCATCGACCCCACCCCGCCCCCTCCTTTCCGTGATCCCGCAGACCATCGAAGAGCACGGAGGGGACGTGATGATATCGTCCCCATCCCCGTGGCGTGTTTCCCCCAGCGGCGACGACGACGGCTACATGTGGCACTGCCTCCTCTACTTCATCGGACTCGGACTCGCCCCGCACCGGCTTCCCCTACAGTCCGATAGGAGGAGCAGCAGCAGCAGCAGCAGCAGCAGCAGCAGCAGCAGTAGCATCGCTGCCGCGGTCGTAGACGCTGCTGCCGACTCGGAGGCGCTACTGGGGAGGGGAACGGGGACGGAGTCGTCGAGGGGGGTCGACTTCTCGGGGTGGGTGCGTCGGGCGAGGGCGCGGGCCCCCGTGCTGGAGGCGGAAAACGCCGACCTGCTCTTCGGGTTGCGAGGAGGAGGAGGAGGAGGAAGAGGAGGAGGAGGAGGAGGAGGTGGGAGAGGAAGGGGTTGGATAGGTGGTGGCGGGGGGTTGGGAGACCGCGCGGCACGACGGCGAATCCAACGGAGCGCGACGTCGGAATGTATCGGTGCGGCTTTCGCCGTGTCCTGGTCGGGAGGGGGGCTCGAAGGAGCACCCCCCCCGGCGGCGGCAGGGAGTGATAGTGCGGGGATCCCTGGTCCTAAAGACGCCGCTGATGCCGCCGTGCGGACCAATGCCTTTTTGGAGTTCGTTGCCCCCGGCAAGGTGGAGGTTCGGCACGAGGAGCTTGACGAGGAGGGGGCGGTGGGAGAAGGGCAGGTTTTGGTGGAGGCGGTTTGCTCGTCCATTAGTTCGGGGACGGAGCT